ATAGAATATAACAGAACAGAATAGAATAGAACAAGAAGCAGGGAATAAATTAGAACAGAATAGAATAGAATAAGGAATTAGAGTAGAATAGAATAATAAAAATAGAAGAATAGAATAGAAGAATAGAGTAGAGTAGAGCAGAGTAGAATAGAAAATGGAATGGAATAGAATAGAATAGAATAGAATAGAATAGAATAGAATAGAATACTGCATTGTCACGTTGAATGTACACTAATCATACATTAAAATGAAATTATGCTGCATATAGCGCTCAAAGGGCCTCCACCTCTAATATAAACATGACAAGATAACTGAATAAATATAAAATTATGCGTATACCTACATATATTATATGACACGGAGAAACAACGCAGTCTAGTTCGGATGTACACATGTACATGGTGAGAGAAACGAATATTGCGAGTTTACCAGACGGATGACCTAAGGAACAAAGCTGTTGCAGAATCTGGTAGTCCTGCTAGAAATACTTTGAAACCTCCTCCCAGAGGGGAGCAACAGAAACAGACCATGAAGTGGGTGTGTGGGGTCTCTAACAAGGGTTTGAGCTTTAAGCACATAGCACTTATAAGCAGTATCCTGAATGACAGGAAGTGAGCTTCCTATAATCTTCTTGGCTGTCCTTACCACTCTCTGTATGGACTTTCTGTCTTTTGTCATCTTTCACCCCTTTTGTCTCTGAAGGATCTCAAGACTCAGTTCTAAGTCTATTTTTCTACCATCACTATTATCACTACTCCAGAATTCCTACTATAATGCTAGTAGAACTAAGAAGAAAATTCCTGACACAACAATTAATCAGTGGAACAACTTTGTGGGTGCTCCATCACTGGAGGTTTTTAAGAAGATTGGACAGCCATTTGGCTGGAATCCTATAGGATAGGGTCTCCTACTTGAGCAGGGGTTTGGACTACTAGAAGACCTCCAAGATATCTTCCAACTCTGTTATTTTGTTGTTCTTCTGTAGCCATTCCATTTTATCATCAGGACAGCCCTGACAACCCAAGTGAGAGAATCTGGCTCACAAATAACACTGACCTCTAAGATGGTTTGTTTGCTTCTGGGCCGAGAGTCACTTGTAAAATCCATCCAGAATGAGGTAGTATTATGTATGGCTTGGTCGCCTATTATAAAGTGATTAAATCCTTCCTCAACAAGATGTGTCAACCAGGTCAGATACTGACCCTGAACATCGAAGTAGTAATCTTATATTTGCACAAAATACTGGTACACGAAAGTGCTGCTTTGCTTGGAGTCTTTTTGTACACCCAGAAGAAATGAATGAACTTCCCCTGGGAGATAACTGAAACTTTCCTAACTATGTATCTAAAGAAAATTCCTTACAATTGCTATGCTGGAAAAATGTCTGTAACTCTAAAAAAAACCCACCACGATTTGTCCTAAGCAAAGCTTGTTAAAGTAAACCTGGTATTAAACCATGATGAATAAAATGGTGAGCTATCACTAAGGTGGTATGGTATGGTCTACAGGCAAAACCACACTTGGAATACTGCATCCAGTTTTAATCAACGTGATGCAAAAATATGTTGAGACTCTAGAAAGGGTGCAGAGAAGCTCAGACATGATGAATGATTGTAGGGTCTAAGTATGTCTAGTCTAACAAAGAAAAGGACTGGAGTGAAATGAAAGGAGTCTTCCAAAATTTGAGGGGCTGTGAGAGAGAGAGGAGGGGGTCAACCTATTTTCCAAAGCACCTGAAGGCAGGGGAAGAAGTAACTCATCAAGGAGATAATCAACCTAGAAATAAGGAGAGATTTCCTGGCAGTGGGAACAATCACCCAGAAGTTGTGACAGCTCCATCACTGGAGGCTTTTAAGAAGAGGTTGGACCGCATTTTGTCAGGAATTGTATAGGGTCTCCTGCTTCAGCAGACAGTAGAAGGCCTCTAAGGTGCCTTCCAATTCTGTTATTTGATTAAATCTATCATAAGAATAATTCAAGTGAGATCTAGAATGGGCCAAGGTAAAGATCTGTAAGGAATGTGGAAATTCATTCTGAGGGTCTATATTTTCCTCATCCACACCTTATAATAACTCCGAGATTCAGCCTGCTCTGTGTGTCCTGTAGAAAAGACAATATAACCTCTGCTTGCTAACAATTTTCATTTTCCTAATTAAGTTGTTCTTCCTCTTTCCGATGCAGTTCCGCAAATCGTATCAGTCACAAGAGAACCGCGCTATCTGCCCTATTACACAATATAGATTTTAAAAGTCAGATCCTTTTTTTGGATTTACTATGGCAGGAGGGGTGACCACAGAGTTTCTTTTTCCCCTTCGTTGGAAGTGACTTGTTGTTAAATGCATGAACATTGCAGAATCCCAGAGATTCAAGCATGGCTTGTGAAGAGTAGCACATTTGAGCAGCCTCTGGAAAAAAAATCAGAAAAGAACCATCCTCGTGTCTATTTGTGGCAGTTTTCCTATTTGATCCCACAGAGCATGTAACCAGCAAAGGTATGTTCATTGCAAACACTGGAAGATTAACATTTAAATATGTCCAGGGCATTTGCTGTAAACCTCTCAGAATTGCTCCCTAGGGTAGCATATACATTTAAGAAATAAATACCAAAAAATTTAATTGTTTTACTGAAGGGGCTCCAAACTGTGACAATTTGAGATCCAATTGCTTAATGTAGTTCATGGCAGGATTTGCAAGTATCACTGACATTTTGGAATGAACGTTTTAAAATCTTTAAAAAAAATATTATTTGCAAAGTAATATATACAGGCAGTATCACATGGATGCAAATATAAATCTAATCTTATCTGCAAATCATAATCTTACTAAGCTATTCATAGTCCTGCTGGCTTACCTTGTTGGATTATATTATTTTAATATTGTACAAAATCTATGTCTGCGCCCTGTCTCCTATAGATTACCTGGAGTAAACTGTAACGTGGAGAGATGCCACGTTAAATCTTTTGCCATCAGACAATACTCTAGAATTTCTTGCAATATTTTAGGGATGACCTACAGTCTATGGCTTTATTGCTTGAACCATTGGTAAATTCAGGAGAGATTATACACCATCCTCCCACCTAGACAGTATAATAAAGAATATTCAGTACTCACCTTGAAACAAAACGGGGACTTAGTCTGCCCCCATCTTGATGATATTTCAGAAAGTGACAAAAATAAATCTCTTCAAGAGACCCTTCCAACTTGTTTTTATGGCAGCTACACCTTTATTTATAGATTCTAATAGACTCAGAATCAGAACAGAGCTGAAAGGGACCTTGGAGGTCTTCCAATCCACCCCCCTGCTCAAACAGGAGAACTTATGCCATTTAAGACAAGTGACTGTCCGGTCTCTTCTTAAAAACCTCCAGTGACAGAGCATCTACAATTTCTGAAGGCAAAGCTGTTCCACTGGTTAATTGTCCTCACTCTTAGAAAGTTTCTCCTTAGTTCTAGGTTGTCTCTCTCCTTGATTAGTTTCCATGCATTGTTTCTCGTCTTGCCTTCTAATGCTTTGGACAATGCGTTATCCAATAACCCTTCTCTTTGTGGCAGCCCCTCAAATCCTATCATGTCACCCCCTCGTCCTTCTTTTCTCTAGACTGGCCAAACCCAAATCCTGCAATTGTTTTTCATATGTTTTAGTCTCCCAACCTTTAATCATCTTGGTTGCTCTTCTTTGCACTTTTTCCAAATAGTTTTGTACAAAAAAAAAAAACATTTATTAATGTTATCGATCTTTTAATACATTTTTATACACGTATTAAGTGTTTCTATTTTATTTTAAGTTACCTAGAATCGAAAGAATGGGCTGTGTATAAAATTGGGCTAGAAAAAAATAATTCATTGTGGTTGTTTAACTTGCACAACTTTACATAAATTGGGGTTCTTCTAAACTGATTTCAGAACAGGGCACCAAGTTGAGAAAGTGGTTCACCGCTGTTACGCACGTGGAACATGGTTTGGGTGAGCCTCATATGCTCAACCACAATTTCCTGTTAACCTTTTTTCGTTTTGAAAAATGAGAATCACAATACACGAGTTGTGAGAGTTAATAATAGCAACTTATTAAATGTAAATGCTGCCCCTCATAGCAATTCTGGACTGAATGGACACATTTGACCTGCTTTCATAAATACCCAAAGGAAATTATTAAAGCAAAGAAGAAATGGTGGGGTCATTGATGGTCTCTGAACTTGGTTGTTTTCTTACAGATTTTTCATTACCAAACTAGGTAATCTCATCAGTGCCAAAGGGAGTGGGATTTGTTCTCTTTTTATATACAAATGGTTTGTCCTGTCAGTGTCAGTATGAATGTTTTTGGCCGTTCCTTGTTTAGGCTGTTAACGCGGTGGCTCAGTGGCTAAGAAGCTGAGCTTGTTGGCGGTTCGAATCCCTAGCGTTGTGTAATGGAGTGAGCTCCTGTTACTTGTCTGAGCTTCTGGCAACCTAGCAGTTCGAAAGCATGTAAAAATGCAAGTAGAAAAATAGGGACCCTTTGGTGGGAAGGGAACAGCATTCCGTGCGCCTTCGGTGTTTAAGTCATGCCGGCCACATGACCATGGAGACATCTTTGGACAGCGCTGGCTCTTTGGCTTTGTAAAGGAGGTGAGCACCGCCCCCTAGAGCCAGAAACGACTATGCAAGGGAAACCTTTACCTTTACTGTAGTTACTTGAGTGGAATATTGTTTACTTCTCGTTTATTAGTCTAGTATTAATCTTGGTGTTAATCTGTCCTTATCTGGGTGTTGATTGTTGGTGGGAAAGTGTTTTGTTTCCTATTTTGTTTTTTTGACAGTGCAAACCACTAATATATAAAGAGAAAGCAGCTCCCCACTTCCTTCTAGCATTGATGATATTACCTAGTTTGGTAATGAAACATTGTCGGTAAGAAAACAACCAAGTTGAGAAAGCGTAAGTTCACCCTTGAGCTACAACTCTTCTCTTCTACAGAAGAAACTGTAATTTGCCTGTCTGGTACGGTTTGCTGATAAAAGAAATTGATGGACCAACTTTCTAATTCCTTTAAAAAGAAGAAGAAAGAGTTATATGTGCAATAGGAACCCAGCTAAGGAAAATGAATCAGAGGCTAAACATCATATACATTGCATCAAATGTTACTTCCTTAATCAGCTTTTCTTGAACAAGCTGCAGTCAGATGGATGTCTGTGTGGTAGACTAATATGTAAAATGCAATCTACAAATCATAACATGGATTCACAGAATGCATTGAGCTAAAGCAAAGCAAACATCTTTGTAAGAGTTTTCACCCACCTAGCTAAGCCAGTTGTGATCCAATTTAAGAGCAAATCCTTCTTGCTTAGGGTATACCATGTCGTGTGAATCCAACCATTATGCTCTGCAAACCATAGTTCATGGTTTAGAATGAATGATCTCAGCCAATTATGAATTAGGATTCGATATCCACAGACCGATATTTTTTCATTTGCTTGCTTAACTACAAATCATTTTCAGTGTTTGTGGAGCCACTGAGTAGCTTTCGAAGTGTTTCTTCCGAGTGACTTAGAACACTCTGGTTCTCTAATGTTTTGCAAAGCCTTGCCAAATTAATGGGATTATAAAATATGTTTTGCTTAGCATAAGGGCAGCACAGAAAAAGAAGAGCAAAAAATTAATCGCTGCAACATTTCCAGATGTTTTAGATTACAAATACCAAAATTCCTACATACCGACCATGCTGGTGTGGGAATTCTGGAATCCAATAAACCAGTGATCCCCAACCTTTTCTACGCCGCGGCCCGGTACTGGCATCAGCTGGCCGCCGCGGCCCGGTACCGGCATCAGCTGGGCGCCGCCATCTTTTTTTGATGAAAAAGTGCTTCCGGTGAGCTTCTACCCGGAAAAGCTCACCGGAAGCGCTGGCGCCGCCATCTTTTTTTGATGAAAACGTGCTTCCGGTGAGCTTTCTACCCGGAAAAGCTCACCGGAAGCACTTTTTCATCAAAAAAAGATGGCGGCGCCCAGCAAGCCAGCGGCCCGGTAGGACTTGTTCCGCGGACCGGTACCGGTCCGTGGACCGGTGGTTGGGGACCCCTGCAATAAACCAGGAAGATCTTGGTTTAAAGAAGGCTGAGGATATTTTGCTGTTATCTTAACCGAGGGACAATGAATTAAACAAAACTGAATGTGTTTTCTCTTTCCTTCTCTAAATAACTTCTCCGTGTATTTTTTTCTTTTAAAAGGCATTTGCTCTGCGTAGTCTTTTTGAAGATTTGTCTCCTGAGCCACCATGCTGGCAGAAAGCTTCCTCACTATCTTTGCCTATAAACACGAGCTTTTGGACTCCCGTCAAGGCCAGCTGCTGAAACCTGTTGGACAAGAAACTTGGCAAAGCCAGTTTGCAAATACAGATGAAAATGAACAGCTCTTTACGGAATCCAATCAGGCAGCGGCTGAGAAGATGGCAAGGATTCATGGTGGTAACATGGGCTCCAAAGGTCCTCAGCAGATCCCTGGAGAAGATGCACCAAAGAACAAAACCCACAAAATATCCCTGTCCGTTCCTCAGCGCATAGCAGTTCAAGAGCCGCACTGTGGGAAAGATCTGGATTTGTACAGATCTTGGTCATGCCAAAGTCTTTATCAGAATTATCCCGACCTTCATATCAGAGGAGATCATATCGCTGACCATACACCCGATTCCAATCGCGTGGTGGACCAGACTTACAACACATTGTCTGGTCCCATGTTCTCCTCCACAGATCTCCCCTTAGATACTCCCTTCCCATTACAGAAACCCAGGGTGCTAAAGTTGGGGTGTGGTGATGAGGTTGGCGAGAACAGCCTGGCTATCCGTAAGGAGCCCCTTTCTAACTCATTGCTTAACAAACACATGGAAAAGGAAATCCAGGAATTCTATAAACAGTTTTTGGAAGAGAAGTTGACTCACTGCAATTCCATCACCCACTGCCTGATGTCGAACGGTCTGATGAGTAACCTTGGTGAGGCCCACCACCCATTGTCTCATGGACACCAACAAACGCTCAAGCACTCTCTGGCTCGTCTGGGCTTGCACAACACTAGCAGTGGAAACAGCAGTGAACTTAGCACGCCAAATTTGCAAATCTCCGCCCCGCTTTGCAACAGAAAATGTCTGTGATGCAACGTGCACCACGAGGGAAAGCAATAGATCCTTTAAGACACAAACAAACGGGACAGTCTTTGGTTTTAATACTAGAGTGGACAAGCTTTGATGGGCAAGCTTTACACCTAAAGTTTCTGGAAGTACAGCATTTAGCAGGGCAACAACCTATATACAATGGAACCCTATCATGTATATAAAAAAATCTGAGAACTTCTTGAAGGAAACCTAGGCATTACGAAGCCTATTTTAGGGTTTATGTTGCATTGTTTTCTGTGTATCAGTGATTTTTAGCTATTAACAAAACAACAGATCAACAGAATAACAGAGTTGGAAGCGACCTTGGAGGTCTTCTAGTCCAACCCCTTGCCTAGGCGGGAAACCCTATACCAGGAGTCGCCAACCTTTTGGACCTCAGGGACCACCAAACTCATAATTTTAAATCCCATGGACCAGAGACCCTGAGAAAATCTAAAAAAAAAAAAAAAAAAAAAAACCTGCAGGAAAATTCCCCACCCCGTTTTCCTACCGATCGATCATTCTTTATTTGGGATCACAGGATACCGTCTCCAGCTCTGTTCTCAAGGGGGAGAGAGAGGGAGAGAGAGAGACTTTTGGCTTCATGCAAGGAAAGCAGCAGAAGCAGCAGAAGTCTTTCTTTCTCTCCCCCAAACCCCGCCAGAAATGAGTCTTTGTGAGTATTGTTGCACCGGCGCAGCCACTTGGAGCAGGATGCCTTCCAGGGTCCCAAAGATTCATTTCTGGCGAAGTTTGGGGGAGAGAAAGAAAGACTTTTGCTGCTTTCCTTGTGTGCAGCCAAAAGCAGAAGAAGAAAGAAGCGGAAAGAAGCAGCCCGGTAGCCGGTTAAAAAAAATAGGGGAACAGAAACAAACTGGATTTGGTAATGAAACATCTGAGAGAAAACAACCAAGCTGAAGAAAACACCAAGGACCTCTCAAACACTACAGGGTTACAAAGGAAAAATAATGAAGCCCTAAGTGTACCATGTTTTCTCCGTACTTGTCTGTTTCCATTTTTCTGCCTCCAGATGTAAGGGAGTTCACTTAGCTGTAATTCTTAGAATTTTTAGAAGTTTAAAAGTATGCCATAAAATGGAGATGGAAGCAGTTCAAAGACAAGACAGATACCTTTCATCTGCTTCAGGATCACAGATGCTGACAAATATCTCCCAATTTATCAAAACAAGAAACTGGATGCATTTTTTTCATTTCCAATATTATTATGCTAGCCATAATAATATTAATTCCTAGGATGTTAGTCCAGCAATAAAAAATACCACATGAAAAGTATGCCTTCCGTTTAGTTGTATCTCTTCCCTGTTTAGAATTCCTTTTGTTCTGTTATAAACCTGGGGAAAAGGAAGGCATGCGTAAAGTACAATGAGTAAATAATCTAGAATGGTTCATAGATTATGTTTTAAATCTCCAGCACGTTTGGTCTTTATTAGAAAAACAACATGACTGCAGTAGAATAGCCTCAACTCCTGCACTAGGGGACCGTTTGAAGGAACCTTGGAGATCTTCTAGTCCAGCCTCCTGCTTTGGCAGGAGCCATTTTGAACAAAAAAACCTGTTCAATCTCTTCTTGAAAACATCCAGTTTTGGAGCAGCCATAACTTCTGAAGACAAGTTGTTCCACTGGTTAATTGTTCTCTCTGTCAGGGAATTTCTCCTCAGTTCTAAGTTGCTTCTCTCCTTGATTAGTTTCCACCCTTTGCTTCTTGTCTTGCCCTCAGGTGCTCTGGAGAATAGCTTGGCTCCCTCTTCTTTGGGGCAGCCCCTGAGATACTGGAACCTCACCTGGCCTCTGTCCCTAAGCCTGTGAATGGATGAGATGAGAGGGCTCTCAAATTCTTTGCTCCTTTTGTAGCAATTCAAAGGTCAGATTTTAACAAATGAAATAATGTCTATAATTTAAACTGCTGACTGTTAGAGGCATGGCAGCCTTTGGCCATCTCTTTGAGAAACAGGGCAATCTCACAAGGTTAAACAAAATGAAACTTTCTTTAAAAAAAATAAAAAATATCAAACACCCTTGTTAACTTGGAACAATGTTCATTTGTGGAAGAGGTGCAGTTACACAGAAAAGAAAGGGAAACACGCACAGACACACGAATATGTTTTTCTACGCAAACAACAAGATGGGGCGGTTCTGTTACTGTCTGCTTCTACAGATCCAAGTGAAATTTTTTTGCTTCTCCAGATTTCCAAATGGAGAGATGTTCAAATTATTAGTGGTGGAAAGTTGGGATGGATATAAGTCTTCATGAAAAAAAACCAATGCTTGAAGTTCTACCATGTTTCTTAATTTCTAAAGAATCTTACCCTCACCCTATACTGCAAACAGAGATCAACATGTAAATTCCCTGCTCCAGACAGTTTTACCTATTTTCTACCAAAGTAGAAACAAAAATATTTTATCCATTGCTACAGTTCCTTGGAGATTCCAATTTTTTCTGGTTGGATGATGAAAATCTGTGTTCCTTTTTTTGACTCATTCTCCAGCTTGTCGAGAATTCTGTTCTCGTTTTTAAATATCTCTCTCTCTCTTCCTCTCCCTCCCTCCCTCCCCCTCACTCTCTTGCTCCCTCTCCCTCTCCCTCCTCTCTCCCTCACTCATTCCCTCTCTCTCCCTCCCTCTTCCTTCCCTCCCTCTCCTTCCCTCTCTTGCTCCCTCTCCCTCCCTCCCTCGCTCTCCCTCCCTCTCTTCCTCCCTCCCCCTCCCTCCCTCCCCCCTCTCTCGTGTGCTCTCTCTCTCCCTCTCTCTCTCTCTTTCTCCCTCTCCCTCTCTCCCTCCCTCCCTCCCTCCCCCTCCCCCCTCTTTCTCATAATTTATATGTGGCAAAGAACATCTCTTCCCTGTGATTTTCTATGGAGCCTCTGAGCCTCTCTGGCAGTACCTTACATTCATAACACGTTATTCATTTTCTTTCATGCTATAAATTCAAAGTGGCTTGCAGAAAAGAAAAAGAAAACCTTAACCAAACACAATGAATAAACAATGCAGATTGTTCGGAACAGATGTTTCATTCGTTTCAAGCGTTTCTAACCCATGTATTTCTCCACAGGGGGTTGTTTACACAATAATAAATGCAACGTGGAGACAGTTTGGTGTTGCGGTTCAAGGCACCAGGCTAGAAACCAGGAGATACCAAGTTCTAGTCCTGCCTTAGGCATGAAACCAGCCGGGGAAGTCCCTGAGCCCTAGGAAGAAGGCAAGACCAAATTTCTTTCAAAAACCTTACCAAAAAAACTTCAGGGACTTGTCCAGGCAGTCACCAAGAGACAGTAGTAACTTAAAGCCCCCATCCCACCCACCCCCAAGAGAGAAGAGAGTAAAATTTAAATAAAAGCAGAGTGAGGAAATTGGGTTCACATTAAAAACAAGGTGGATTTTTTAAAAAGAAAAACCTTAGTGATTCCCCCTACATATTTAAAAGGAACATATTTGCAGCTTGGAACAGACCTGTAAAAAGGTGATTTTGCTTGGGTAAAGAGCTATTAAAGATAAAGGTTCCCCTTGTACATATGTGCTAGTCATTTCCGGGGGCAGTGCTTATCTCTGTTACAAAGCTGAAGAGCCAGCACTGTCCGAAGACGTCTCCGTGGTCATGTGGCCGGCAGGACTAAACACCAAAGGCGCATGGAACGCTGTTCTCTTCCCACCAAAGTGATCCCTATTTTTCTACTGTCATTTTTTACGCGCTTTCGAACTGCTAGGTTGGCAGAAGCTGGGGCAAGTAACGGGAGCTCACTCCATTACATGGTGCTAGGGATTCGAACCATTGAACTGCTGACCTTTCTGATCGACAAGCTCAGTGTCTAAGCCGCTGAGCCACTGTGTCCCTATAAAGAGCTATTACCAGAACGATTACAGCTTTAAAAATATATGTTTGCCTTTGAGTCAATCTTGACTCCTGGTAACCTCATGGACAAGTCCCTGCAGTTTTCTTGGCAAAAGTTTGGAAGTCTTCTTTTTGGGGCTGAGGGAGAGGGGCTGGCCCAATGTTACCCAGCTGGCTTCATACCTAAGGCAAGACTCAAACTTATGGCCTCCCACTTTCTAGCTTTCTCCTTCCAACCACAACACCAAATTGGCTTTCTTTCTGGTGTTATAGTTCTCCTTCCCCATCTCACATGCATTTTTGTGTGCCTGTCAAAAGAAAATAATAATTATATTCATTATTATAATTACATTAAACCATTAACACTTTGCTAGTGCCAAAAAAAAGCAGCTATCAGGTTCTGAAATCAATTTCTTTCATACCATAACAGACTCTTCTAACGAAAGAGAGAATTCCGTATTTTTGGTATCAATATCTCCATTGTTGTTGGAAGAAATGTCCATCTGGTTCAGTTCCAAGCTGGGAGAAAGACACTGGAAATATGGAGGCTGACTGGAAAGATGGTTTAAGGGTGAAGCAGAACCACCAAGCACATGCTTCTCTGGTGCAACTGACCACATGGAGTTGAGAGTGTGTGTGGGGGGTATTTATACCTTCTCTTGGGCTTTGAACTTGAGCTTCCTGTTCCTGTGCAAGAACATGTATTCTATTGGCTGTTGTAAGGGTCATAGCTGGCTGTTGTAGATTGTCTGAGCTCCCAAGTTTTGTTGAAGTTTGGCTGATGTAATGAAGGGGATTGTTGGGCAATCCTATCCTATTGTGGCTGAGGGTTAATCCTACCTTTGTTCAGACCTTGTTTTAGGAAATTTTTGCCTATGAACAGAGCTACCTATCTCTTTATCTCTTCAGTGCTGGCATCTGCTGTAGGCAATTAAGGAAGATGGAGGCTGCTTTCCAAGAGCATGCTTCTCCATTTCTCATCCAGGAAAATGTAATATCCTTCCTTTTTAATGTTTCTCAAAATATTTTATTCTTCAAGGAAAGGGGTGGCTGCTTAACTTTCTACATTGTCTTGGTTGCCTGTTAGCCCTTCTCTTCAAAAAAGTTACGCTTCTCATCCGAGAAGCTTCAGAACTTCTCCAGAACTGGAGAAGCTTCTTTGACGAGAAAGGAAAGATTTTCAGGCGTAACAATTTTTATTAGTTCGTAAGGTAGCATACAAAGAAAATACAAAATAATAGGAAAAATACGGAAGTAAAAAAAGGGAAGAGAGAAAAATAGGAGAAAGTAGTGCTAAAAAAGCAGCTGATTCTGAGATTTATTTCTTTCATACTAAAACAGGCCCTGAAGGCAACTTTTCTAATGAAAGAGAGAGTTCTGTATTTTTGGTATCAACATTTTCATTATTGTCTTGATCGGCTTTTAGCTCTTCTGAACATGGTAAGCACCTCCGCTGGGAAAGCAGAATTGTCTAGAAAGACACACACCTCCTT